GCAATTACAGTGCATTTTGTGATCTAATATATTATCATTAAGGAGAGTTTTATGCTGTGTACACGTCTCAACTATTAATCAGTAGCCAATATATTATTTTGTTTTTAAATTTATATCTTAATTTAGATTTTGCTAAAAATAACTCATTGCTTTTTATTGACTTCCTACTGAAATAAGAGTTCTTACCATTATTAATTTGAAGAGATTAAAAAATGGCTCTACATCCAAGATAAATGCACTATTTTGATATGGCATTATATTACATGTACAATATTAAAAGATTACATTTATATTAGTTAATATTGATACGAATCATTTGTCATTCATAATATCCGCTATGAGTATTTCGTTCATTTTTTGATTTATTTGCAAAATTTATCAAAGTTTGAATAAATTTATTTCTATATTGTAGTGAGGAAATGATTTTAAAAGAGTTAAAAGCTTATATAATAGAATAGAATATGTCAAAAGTTAGTTAGTACAGCTAGTCATTACTTACAAAAGTGAGCTTTCAGACAGATTTGTTGACAGCAACAAAATTTTGTTTGCTCAGCTAAAGTGCCACTGAAAGGTTGTTTTCATTTGATTTTTCTCTCTTCAATTTCTGGATGAAAAATTGAGTACTCAAAATCAATTCAAATTCTTATATTTATTCAATTCATATTTTGATATTTGTATTTCTAACTTCGAGAAGTACACTGCATTTCTTTACTTTCTTACTATTATGAATAATGAAAGTATTTGAATACTTTTTCTCTCACTATTCACAATGAGTGAGAAATTTTAATAATTTTACAATTAAATCGAAAAAAAACTTCGAACACTTATTGCAAACTTAATATGATATCAGGAATAAATGTTAATTTTTGTGATTACTGTCCAATATAAATGTGTTAATTGAATATTGCATATAAATTATCGAATATTTATTTTTGTTTTAAACATAATGAAAAATAGACTAATGTTTTGGTAATAAATAAAGTTCAAGAGGGATTCTGTAATAAAAATAACTTAAATAGAAAAATATCAAAAGAATGATTTGATTAGTTTTTGAATTCAAAAGCTTTTCTATGAATGAAAATTTTTAAAAATTTTGACTCTTTAATTTTAATTATTAAAATTTTAATTATAGACATGTAAATTTCACCTTCACTTTCACACTAAAGCAAACTTTCATCATTTTTCTTAAATTTTAAATTTGACTGAATATTTATTTATTATAAAAATAACACATTATTAGGTATTTAGTTTTGATTTATTCCACAGTATGTTTATATAGTAAAATACACTTTCACATAATTTCTTTACTTATTTTTATTTATTTAATTTTTAATCTTTTTCGGTTCACTTTTCAGTCTCCTTAAATTTCTTCATTAAAGCAATGAAATGATTCTCAAAGGCTTCTCTGATCACACTGAAAGTAAAAAAAATTTTCTTCCGTAAAATAAATAAGTAAAACTTTCTACGATGTAAGTTTTAACCTTGAAAAAGTTATCAGAAATTGCTATATTATGACAATACTCAAAGGAATAATGAGATGCTATGATGTATCCAGCTGGGATTTCATAAAAAGTATCTTCTGAAGCAATCATACGCATCTGAAGGCTACTCAACTATATCCATCACTATTTGCTCATATTTGTAATCATCACTGACAGATTTTTTTTTATTTTTTCACTTTTTTCTTCTTTTTATCTTTATTTAATATACTTTCTATCATTTATTTATACGTTTTACTTATAATTATCAGCACCAAAATATTTTTCACCATTCTTAAGCTGCGTTTTTTTCTTCACAATGTCAGTTATAATCACAACTATTCTTATCTCTATACTAACAAACCTTTATTTTTATTTCATTTCTTTTTTACTTATTTATTTATTTTTGATTTGTTTCTTTTAATTGCTACACATAAATTATTTATCCTCAATTCTTTTCAGTTTCACTCAAGCATGAACAAAATTCAGAAAGAACTGCTTCTAATAAAATAAAATAAAGTCAAATAAAGTAAAGTTAAATACTGTAAGAGCCAAGCCTTAGCTTATTATCTTATCTCACGTAGTCTTTCACGCTTAAACGCTTACTTACTTTTCTTTTCACTCACAATAATGCAACATGCATTCTCTTAACTTTTTTCGTCGCAGTCATTTTCAAGTCATTTCTTTCCATTTATCCTTTTTCAATGCCTTTGTTCCCTTTTTTCTTTCCGTTATTGCTTATTTGTCTTTAAATACTTGTAAAATCGCTTATTTAAGCAATTTTCAATACCTAAAATTGTTTAATCATTATTTTTCGTTCTATACTTATTGTGATCAGTCGATACACGTACAAATTTATCAATCCCACGTATTGCGCATACTTTGAAAGGAATTTCATGTAGAATTAATTTGAAATTTATTCATGCCATATTTTTTGTTATTTTCATTCTTAGTGACTTGTTTATCCTCGTATAGTAACAAATGAATTTTCAAATGTCTTAATTCCAGTCATTTATTTTTTAAATTAGGCATTTTAAGTCAGTTTATATTTCTATTTATTGCTTTAATTAATTCAAATTCAAGTAAATTCATTTGTTATCCAAGCATATACTGCGAAAATCAGACTTAATATATACTACTAAAAATCAGTAGTATATATTAAGTATTTTAGTAGTATATATTTTATACTAAAATTATAAATACTTGATCAAAATTGTCAGTAACATATAAAATTGATATTATTAAGGATTTTGACTTTGAAATAAAATAACTTTTAGAAGACAGTAAGTGTGTTATTTCGTGCTGTTCTATGGCAGTATCCATCATTAGAGGTTATTATTACTAAAATTTTATAGTAATAAAATATCAAAGAAGTCTGTGCTATTTTGAAATTTACATATTTTTAGGTTAAAATCCTGTCCCACCATCTATTTCGGTATAAAAAAAAGCTTTATAGTGAAATTTATATGCAAAAATTATTCACTAAACAATTAATTACTTCACCGATGACCTTTCAGAAAATTGATGCAATTTTATCAAATTTAATTTTTAATAAATAATTTTTAACATTTTCAGTATTTAGACATTTCCTACTGCTTGCACAGTTCAAAAATGGGCTTGTTCTCATTTTTTAAAATAATAATATTTGAAGCATCTGACATTTTGTTGAGCTTCACTACAGGTCTTCCTACAACTTCACAATTTAAACTACTACGTAATTCAATTTTCTGCTTTATTTTTTTCCACTTTGAATGGCTGTGCATGAAAATAAATTACATCTCAGTGGCGCTCCTTCAGAAGCATCTGTCACACATTCTTCCACTAGTATTTTAGTAATTTTCCTCAATAATGAAGGCTAGTTTTCAGCCAAAGTTTAACAGTTACATTTGCTTTATATCAAAACATAATTTTATTCTTGATTCATAAACTACAATCAGAACTTTCCTTAAAGAATTCCGTACAAATAGCATAAAATCTATAAGTTGGCAAAAATATGAATTTAAAAAGATGGCTGGCAAATAGTATTAAAATATCAAAGTTGCTGAAGTGAGAATTCCAATTAATCGTTAAAATTTTCTGCGTTTTTTCGCACTTTTTTCTAAAACAATGAAAGTGATTGTAAGATCGATTTAGTATCTGAGCTAAGAAGCTTGTTTAGAGGGGATAAATTTCATAAAATTGAATAATAAAAAAAAAGGTCAAATTTAAACACTTAGTAATTTAGCTCAAAGATCGATGAGAACTCGATTATATAACCTTTTTTGCTCATTTCTAATCTTATTTTGACTCGTTAAGTGTAATTACGCTTTTTTCAAAAAATGGCACATGAAATTAAACTGATAATGTTGTAGAACCGCCACCACAAGCAATACTCAAATTAGTTTAAAAAATAATTAGAATTTGAAAAATTTTAAATTTGACTGCAAGATTTTAATTTGCATCGATTCAGTTGAAATTGTTTATTCTAAAAAAATTTCATTCAAATATTTCCACAAAAAAAAGAGAACTAAAGTGGTTGAACAATGGCACAAGCCTTTTTAATTTCAGTTTTTGCAGCTAATAACCAATTTTTAAAACTCAAAAATGAAACGCTGAAATGCGTAACGCATAAAAAAATAGAATTTTATACAATTCCAAAATTTTCGTAAGTAAAAAAATTTTTATGATAAAGAAGTGCGCTGCTTTCATTTTGCTGATTTTTAAGACTTATTAATTTTCAGCTTACCCAAATTTGCCTATAATTCCTTCAGATGCCATTCTTGCTTTCAGCTACTGAATCACAATTTTTATGTAAATTAAAAATTTATCAAACGATTAATTTCTTTTACAATTGTTTTAGTATGCTTTTCCAACGTGTTTTTTACGTGAAGTGAAAATTTGTGTAGGCTAAAAAATTTGATAAAATTCTTAAAACAATGATTAAAGTTTTGTAAAGCAATGATAGTCGAGCACATTTTTGAAGATAAATAAAAAATTACCAATTACTTTAGTTCACTACCGAATTGTACAGTAATTAATTTCATCTACAGAAATGAAAATATATCTATCTAACTTCTGTCGAATTAAATTAGGGACAATTCATATGTACAACTAATCATAAAATATCACTTACAAAAAAATAAAAAAGACACATAAAATTCTTTTTATTACTTTTTGGAAAAGTGTCAATTATCAGTCACTATAAGAATCTGATATTAATATCAGTCTCAATATGATTTCGATTTAAATTCTGATTGACTAGTTGTTTCAGTCTTGACTTGATTTTCTGTTAGTACGTAAGCATGTAGCCGTTTTAAATCTTATTGACAAGTTTATTATTAGATATTTACAGATTTATTACTAATAGTACTGCTACTTAATGCAATAGTACTGAATATCTCTGTGATTACAAATGATGCACTGTGAACAAGACAGTTATTTCAAAGTTTATTTAGAAAAATTTTTACAGATGAATCAGATGATCAGTTTACTGATCAAACAATACAAATTGCAGTAAAAGCTAACTTTATAAATTGTATTGCAATGAATCTTTCTGATCCAATTTTGGCACATTTTTTTGAACAAGGAGTTGTTAAGCCGAATATCATAGATTTTTGGCCTGCTCACGTACGTATAATTATGACGAGTATTTTTGTTGTGCTGACTTTAATTGGTGTTACTGGTAATATTATGGTAATATTTGTCGTCTTCAAAGTACCACATATGGTTTGTTGCATTCAAAATGCTTAACTTTATCTCATATTTCAGATTTTTGTCCAAATTCTTCAATTTTCAAAATTATTCCTCAAATATTTCTTATCTTTTAAAATGATAAAAGAGCATATTAAAATTAATATTTAGTATATTTTTTTATTATTTCAAGATCTCACCTACAAACTGCTATTTGGTATCACTAGCAGCCAGTGACTGTTTATTTTTTCTAGTAACTACTCCCAGTGAACTTGGACATTTACACTTGCTTACAGCAGGTACACTTTTTTGCATGGAAATCTATTAAGATGAGAATATGATAATAAGTTGTTAGCTTATGAAACGTGACTGAGAAACGGATAGATTAAGAAATTTTAGCGTTTTCATGATGGTTGAATTTTAAACTAGTTTAATTTCAAAAAACATGATTTCGATAAGTTTTATTATTTTACGACTTATACATAAAAATAAATGATTTACAGAACACAATAAATATCGCAGGAAATTAGAACTAACTATTTTTGTATGCTTTATCCAAAATTGCAAGAAAACACAGTTCTGTGTGTATATAAATATAGATCGTGCTGCGAATATCTCAATTTGTGCACAAGCATTCCAAATTGAAAACATTTATACATATATCGTTATGACCTCAAGATAAACGTTATGACCTCAGGTTATGACCTCAGGGTAATAACAATCAATACTATATTTTTTAGCATTGTAATCATTTAATCAAATAAGATAAATGTATCTAAAGTAATGATCAATACATATATGTATTAAATGGCCAAATAACTATTTCTATTTACATTTCCGATTACATATTTGGCTCCATTGGTTGTGCCTTATTTTCTTACCTGCCTTATTTGGCCATTAATACATCTTCTACATCTATTGCTGCTTTTACAATCGAACGATATATCGGAATTTGTTATCCACTGAAAGCAAGGTAAGTAAGTAATCAAGTAAGTAAGTGGTTGTTTGCATTTCAGTAATATTCATATCATTATTATTATTATTTTGAATGCATTAGTCTATTATTCAGTTAAAACATTGTGTTGAAATCATTCCTTTCTAAAAATGCTTTATTTTTAATTATCTGAAATATTTAATTCTTTTCTAATCAAATATTAATTAATAAGTCTAATTATATTAAAATAAAAAGGTATAATTGAGCGTAAATTTATTTTATAATAAAAAATAGGTTTTAGCTACATGAAATGCTGATAATAAGTTTGCATTGCTCTCAGTCAACATTAATTTTATAAGTTTTTTTGTTTCGTAACGCTTTTTAAATTCATCATTAGTAATAAGGATATGGGTTATTTTTTATACAAACTTACTTGAGAGTTTACTGGCAAAGTATTGATTGATTATTATACAGTAAGATAAATTATGAAAAATGCATCAACTTTTAGCAGCTTGAGGAAAATCTAATTATCATTACAGAAATTTGAATTTAACTTTGAAAATTAAACAATTAATATATTGCCCTGCAGAAAAACAATCAAATTTTAATTTTAGTGTTGATAATTATTATTTTGTACACTACAGTATTTTACCAGGTATATTTGTACAGTTCGTCGAGCTCAACACATAATATTAATACTGTGGAGTTGCTGTGCATTATACAATTCACCTTGGCTTTACCTTGCAGCTTTGCAAGAAAAAGGAGGCGAATATACATGCAATTTCAAACTTCAAAGAGAACATTTAACTTACAAAGTTTTAAATACTTTGAATAATTTTTATTTTTTACAAGATTTTTGTAATATTTTTTCATCTTTGGTGCAGAAAGTATGAGCTAAAATGTTTATAATAATCTCGCTTTATTCTAAAATTAATAAATAATAATAAATCTTTTTTGTCTGATTTTTAAACTTCTCTTATCAATTAAAGTAAGTTAGAATTCCATCAATTTATTTTTAAAAAACCAAATAATTTTAATTAATATCTATGTCGAAACTAAAATGCAAAATTAAGCCTAATTAAAAAAATATTTCAAACTTTCTTCGACACAAATTATTTGAATAATCATTTTCAGGTGATGTTTTTAAGTGATCTGACTATATTTTATGCAATTCCAATGATTCTTTACATTGTTTTGTACAGTCATATAGCCCTGACATTACGACAAAGTTCTGCTAGCATTAAAGAAGATAAAAGACCTCTGAAATCAGAAATTATTCTGTTAAGTAAGTAAGTCTAATTACAAAATTCAAAAAAGTAAAAGTAATAAATGTTATTTTGTAAAGTCTTTGCTTGTTTACTTTTTATCACGAAAATGTATTGTGAGATTATTAATAAATTACAAAATTTTTATTGTTCTGTATTTTCATATAATTATTTATAACAATCATTTACTCAATCAATTTTAATTATATTAGAATTGATATTCCAAAAACATAAATTTGATAAAATGTATTATTAGCTTAATAATTAGTTATTTGAAAGGTAATTTAGCTGAAAGGTGATTGTTAAAAAATTCATAGCTATTATTTCGATTTTTTATCAGTTAACTTGATTTATTTTTTAACTTTATAATATGTCTTCAATTTAAAATATTACTTTCAAGTTTGCTATAAAGATTAACAGTTTTTCATAAAGTTTCTAGAAAGCTTTGCAAAATTTTTAAATATAAAAGTGACTTCAAATAGAACTTCTATGAGATATTTGTATTTTTCATTTATTGGCTACTTTTTTCGGCAAAATTGCTCATTCTTTCATGAATTTACAGCATTTATTTTCGACTTTTGTTCTATTAAACTTCGAAATTTAATGAATTCAAAATGTATTTATGAAATTCAAATGTTTGTGATTTGTGATATTTTTTACAAGTAAAACTTAATAAATAGGAAATTAATTTAAGTGATATTCAATTTCAGAGAGTTCAGGTCGGAGAAAAAATACTCAGACTGAAACGAAGAACGATTTTCGGTACAAAAGAAGAGGGAAAAATCAGGCATTTTGCTATGCATATAATCAATCATTTATAACAATAATTTTACCATTCTTTGCTTACTTTTTTAACTTTATAATTTTCTGACTAATTTTTCTATTCGATACATTCATTTACTATCGATAATATTTTGCAGTTCACAAATTTATTCAAAAAAATATTTGTTTATTAAAATTTAATTATTAAAATTAAATGTATGTTTGATTAGTATTAAGAATATATTAAAATAATCAGATAGAATTTGACTTATTTCTTTTTAGGTTTCGCTTAAATTGGTGTAGTTTTATAAACAAAAAAAGTGAAATTAACAATTCTCAAATCTAAATAAATTTTGATTACAAATACTTACACATATTTACGATCGATAGATACTTGATACTAAGTGATAGTTTGATTGTACCAAAATACTTAATTATAATCAATTAATTAGAAGAAATAATTTTCAGAACGTGTAATTTAAAGCAAAAATTGAAAAAAAAATATTTTTTGAATATTTATTTAAATATTTAGGTAGTAAAAATGCTAGCAATAGTGGCTATTGTATTTGGTGCATGTTGGCTACCTTATCGTTTTATGGTTACTTACAACTCATTTGCTCAAGACAAATGGGATCCAGATTGGTCTTCTTTCTAAGCATTTTACTTTTTAAATTTGATTTGAAAATTAAAAATAAATTTGATAAAGAAAAAAAGTTTCTGCTCATCGAGTATGAAAAAAATTGTATCACAACAGTAAACAAAGTTACAAATTATTGAAAGCAATTTAAAAATTGCACAACTTTTAATTTTTATTTTTCGCAACTGTTACATTTACGACTTATAATGCGAAAATTGCTTGGTATTATATATTTGTAAATTTGAAGACTTTTATAGGCAAACATATATCACTCATATAATTTTCTTGTAATAATTATATAATTTTTGTATTGGAAACGATTAAAATTTCAAACGTTTGGTTAGAAAGAACAGAAAATAAATGAATGACTTAATTAATAAAATCATAATTATTTTCCTATAAAAAGTTCAAAATAATTAAACATGAAAAAAGTTAAATTTAAGCAAAAAAAAAACACGTGTTTGTGTTATTAAGGTATATCTTCTTCTCGAAGACGTTGGTTTATATAAATTGCGCAGTTAATCCCATTTTGTATAATGTAATGTCAGTGCGATTTCGAGATGCATTTCGGCAATTATTTCGCGGTCGTTCTACAGAAGGTTGTTTGAAATTAACATGACAAAATAACAATTTAAAAAATTTAATATAATTTACGAAGAAATAATATCATGCTAACATTAAACTATGAATTAATAGAGTAATACGCTAAATTAGTTTTTATTTTTCAATTTTTTCAATGTGGCGATTAAGAATTTTGCTTTCAATTGTAAAAATAACTTTGCTGAACTTCATTTTTGATTTTTAGTGAGTATTTTAGATAAATTTGGGTAATTGTACAAATTTTGTGCGCTTTTTTTTACTGAATACAGTCATAATATGCAGTGAAATACGTTTAGTTTTATTTACTGATTAAAAAGTCTTGTAGGTATTTTAGGTCACTTTTTAAATTGTAAAATTATTTGCTTAATCCATTTTCATATTACAAAGTCTAAAAAATATTATCTGCTAGATACTAAGAATTGTTTGATTTAAGAAGCATTAAAAATATGATCGGATCGATTGCATATTCAAATAATTGCTAAAATATTATATCATTCAGTACGTTAATTAAGTGAAAAAATATATAAACTAAGTATACAAAATCCTTTTTGTGCTAAAGTTTATATTTGAATTTAACTAATTTTAGGTTCTGATCAAAAAAATGGAAAGAGAAATGAAAAAGCAATTTACAAAGTAATGGAAAACTGCAACTTGCGAGGGTAATGATATCTGCCGTAGCACTGATGCTAATTAATAAAAATAATAATAATGCTGAAAATTTAAATATTATACATAATAGAACTTAATTTTTTGAATTCTTATTACACTTTAGTATTTCAAATTATTAAACTCGTTTTATTCTGCCTGTAATTCTTCAAAAAAACTATTTTAGTTTTCAACATATTTATTTACTCCTTCTGTTTATTCCTTTATTTCAACTATCCATACTTTTGTATTAAAAAAACAACTTAAATTTTTTTAGAATTTTCGCCATCTATTCTCGACTTGTTCAGGTTAACTTTCTACTAGTAAAACTGCTGAATACTTACAGCGCTCTTTTTGACTTTTTTAACTCGTAATCTGATTATAAACATTTTTAATTCGACAGTTTCTATTGGACATATTTTTAAAATAAAAAAAAATGCTAAAATATTCAAATACATATAATAATGAATTTGCTCAGAAGTATAATAAAAATTCAATTCTTTTATATTTATTCATCCAAAATGCTATTATTGAAGTAAACACAGTTTAAATCAATACTTTAACTTAATATTATTTCAGTACTTTTCACGAATTTTTCCAACATTTTGCCACTTTTAAGTAAATTTGTTCTCTATTTCTTTATTTAATTTGATAGAAAAAAATAAAAAATAAAAGCCATACATTTGAATTGCTTACAATTTGTTGCATTCTGAACTTCTCAGTACTTTGTATCGTACAAATCCTTATATGTAAATAAGCAATTTTTAAGGCTTCTTTATGTTTGTCAAAAATATTTGAATAAAGATTTTACCGTCAAAAATATTTTGCAAATTAAGCGTTTAAAGGTCAAAGATGAGATTATGCCTTCATTATTCGTTATTTATAATTGATTCCGAAAATTGTATAATGTATAAACATATTTTGGGTCAGAAACTTTACTTATATTTGTAAAATCATGTAAGTATCAATGTATTTAAAAAAAAACGTATAATTCATATTATTCATATTCTTCATTAAATAGATCATTTAGATGCATCCTCACATATTACAGTGATTCTATTATTGTAATTAAGCTCAAATTACATCTTACAAAAATTGAAATACATCATTTAATTAAAAATTATTCTTGGCTTTTACTGGGTTTTGATGCATTATTTTTCCAAGTATGTCACTTTTATGAATATTTAAGTTGAAAATTTTAACAATTTCGATTAATTTTGGAAAAAAAAGGTAAATTTAATAATTTTAAAATGTGAATTCATTGCAGCCACAATCTTTTCTATAAAGCCTCTTTAAAATTAATGAAATGAAAGTAAAGTTTGTCGCGTACTTTGTCGTTTATTATATTTCTTATAAGTCTATAATTTTACACGGATGTACTCAGAAAAGTTATTAATAAGCTTCTTATGAGATTGCTTCAGTGTACACATTGCATTGTGATGTAAAAGCTTGACATTTTTTCTTTTCTTTGCACAAAATATAATTAAAGCGTATGGTTTTAAGGGTCAGCGTATAAACAAGACGTTTTGTTTGTGAAGAGTTCACGCTTTCTGCGTTAATTCCATTACGATTGTACAATTTTTTATCTACAGAAATATGCAAATGACAGAGTATTTTGATCTTTGCGACGTATGGTATCAAAAATATGCATGCATCAATATATTCTGTTTTAGATAAATATCAGTGCTATAAGAAGCTTTTACGGCAATACGATTCATCTAATTAACGTGATGCAACGTTTGCACGTACAATTTACGCAGCGCATTATTAGTATGAAAATCTTGAATTGCACAATGCCTAAGCAACTCTATTACTTTTTTTCATTATTGAAAAATATCATATTTCTTCAACTTAAAAAGTACATATGGCTTATTTTACTTTCACATTTGCATTTGTCACTAACACATTTGTTTGCTTATAAAAGGCAAATTAAAAAAGCCTCTAAAATAACAAAAAATTTACGAACTTTTTTTTGAAGCGGAAGTAATTATATGCGTACAAAGTGAAAATATATGCGTACGCTTAACACTAATTTTTTTGTTCGTGCAAAACTTTTTGAAAATTTTAATTTGCAATTTCATAAAATAATTACAATTTTTTAATTTTCATTACTTTTTTTACTAATAAAATCTTCCATTTTTCTCATTTTCACTACTATTTTTTTCAAATTTACATGTGAGATATGCGTGAGAAAAGTGTTGCAAAGAATAATATCAAATCTTTCGATGCAAAATCGCTGCAAATTTCCTTAGCAAATGCAAGCTTAGATATAAAGTGAGAAAGTGTAAGGACAAAAATTAATTACTTTCTATTTTATTTATATTTTTGCCACTCATTTCTTTAATTCTTAATTTACACTGAATTTTAATGCTTCGCTTATTTTTTATTCTTTTAATTTTGAAAAA